GGGGTAGCAACTATTTAACGATTAGTAGCAATTAGAAGCAACTAGGTAGCAACTTTCTTTAATTATTTCGATGTAAAATATGGGTAGTGACCGGCCATTCTGACGCTCACAGCAATTTCATGTGCCGAGAACCGAGATTCTTCATCCAAGCCCTGTCTAGCATCGGGGTTAGTCCTATAGCGGACAATCATCTTGCGGGTGCATGCCCAGTTTTAATAGGGAGCCACGTCTATATTCGCACTCTCAACAGCCATTCGGAGAACCTCAGATACCCTGGTCTTGCTTCTCCCGGTGGGCGAAGAATGCGTTATGCATTTTCCAGACATGAAAAAAACCCCTGTATATGGTCCTGGTCCATGTATCATGGACGTATGTACTAATGTTTGCACACAAGTGATGTTATTAAAGGAAAGGATTCCACTAATGAAATCACAGGTTGTTAGTTCTAATAACATGTAAAAGAAAACTTACATTATTTCTTTTAATATAAAAACTATAAGTAAATAAATTAGAAAATCGTAAAAATTCAACAAAATGGAAAATAGGTATAAAAAAATATAAGACGTGGTTGTATGAATTTCGTTTGCTTTGTGAATTAATTGTTCGCTTCTTCCAGGTTCTTTTGGTCGATTACCTGGCTTACGTCTTGCCCAAGACATTAATAAAATGAAATAGTCCTTTGGGATAAAATAAATATATTGAAGATCACAAAAAAACCGAATTAAATATAATGGGAAACAAAAAAAAATCTTCTTCTTTTCTTTTTACAGCAGCTATCAAAAAATAAAATAAAAACCGAATCACTAAAAAGAGCATATACTTAACAAAAAAGTTTTATCATGCTCTACGTGGATTCATGACTTACTCCCGCCGTTGCAGATTAAGGATATAATATAAATGAATGAATCTGCAACCTTAAAAACAATTACAATTCATCACAAGTCAAACTTACGCGGGGTTTTGATGGGACGACCAGTTCGAGAGACCTTATGTCTTAGTGCAGCACCTTCTGGTATGTTGCATGATTTTAAATCCCTATTGCCTGCATTAAATAAATCTGGTCCATCTGATATAGAGACCTGAAGTGGATACAACCTTTGCACTGGCCTGGTTAATTCTCCGTTTGCGGTTTTAATTCTAGCAACACGATCCAGGCCGTTTACACGTTTTGCACTGTCTGACCCAATCAAAACTATATCCCCCATATTTAGTGAAAAAGCCGCCTTTTTATTCTTTTTTTAACATAATTAAATATAATATATATAAATCCTCCCCACCATGGCGCTCAATACATCCTGTATTGAGCGCCATTCTATTTTATTTACACTTGTCTTTGACGCTACGTCATCCCAATCAATGTGTTGTGTGTTGTAAGATATTATACGCTCCTTGAAAATTAGTACCAATGTAACTATACATAGTTTTTGAAGTGAAACTTCTTTATCGGCGTTGGAAAAAAATTTACCGTCACATTTTTCGGTTACGCGTCACATTTTTCCGTTACGCGCCATCTTTTTTTATATTAATAGTTGATAGCTGAATGATCACACTGTCGCCGGCGAGAACTCTCTCTACTCGTTTGTAGCTGAGTGACAATAGTTATTAAAGATAAGACTCGCTCAGCCAAACTCGCTCAGCGATACTCGCTCAGCGATACTCGCCCAGCGATACTCGCTCAGCGATACTAGCTCAGCGATACGATAACTCAGGACTGCCAATTCGTTTCTAGTTTCTACTCGCTTATCGTTCATCGTCGGAGGTGGAACATGTGCCTTAGATTACTGAGCCGTGTAATCATAACAGTTTCATAGGCAGTAATTTGTATTCATGTCTATGATAATAAAATTCTTTTGTTTAAACTTTATCTAATTTAACTTTATTTAACCAATTTTTGGAAAGTTGCATGTAGATCATTTTTCGAAAAATAAGGCCATAAAGAAGTTTCACTTCTTACGTGTGTACACTAGTACACGCACACATTTTTTACGTTACCTCTTGTAGCTAAATTGTCTACGTAAAATGCCTCTCTAAGTTTGGCAGCTATTTCATTATTATATTTACGTAAATGATATAAAATTGTTGCTGACAATAAGAACGGAGTTGTCGTAACTCCGAACACAACACGGCAATGTCTATATGTTATTAGACCCTTGTCAACACAATTTATGTCTCGCCACCATAAAAAAATTAAAAAGTCGCGATCACTTGCATTGACCACTATTTGCAAAAATGCTTTTTTTATATCAGCTGTTATGCCAATAGCCCCCTTTCTGAAATTCATTAAAAGGGTGGGGATAAGCTCGATTAATTGTTTCCCTTTTTCGAGGCAATCGTTAAGGGATAAGCCATTTTTGCCTGACGCAGATGCATCAAACTCCGGTCTTATTTTAGTCGTTAGGCTCAATTCCTTAACAACCGCGTGATGAGACCTTTGTTTACCTCGTCATTAGTAACGACCTCGATGATTCCGTTATCCAACCACTCATGAAATACACTATTGTAGTCTGCTAATATGCCTAACTTATTTAATTTCCTAGTGGTTGACCTAACCCTATTGATTGCTAACTTAGATAAAAGACTACTGACTGTAGCCTTCCAAGGCAGTTGAATTTCATACCGACCCTCATCGTTTATTATAGCCGTTCGCTCAAAGAACTCAACCACTTCTGATTCGACCGCGCGCTCATTTTTTACCTCCGAGTCATCCCTAATGCCTAACGTTTCTAGCTTCCACAGGTCTTCTATATCAAAGGAACAAGAAAGAGTACTAACTCATGATTATAGTACACACCCGAAGCAGGACCTTGGATTGTCCATCCAAGTTTGGTCTCAAGTGCAAGCAACTTATCGTCGACTCGTACCGATCGTCCCGTCAACATAGTTCCTAAAACGTCAGAACCGATTAGTAAACTAATATCATTAATGTTATTTAAACAGTCAGTTAGAATTATTCCTTTTTTTCGCAGTTTAACTAAGAAATCGTTTTGCCTCACTTTTGGTAAATAACCGCAAATATCCTCTTGCTCTAACATTTCTATTGTAGTATTGTAACTCCCATCAATACTAGAAACCTCGACCACAAAAATCTTGTGCTTCTGTCTCTTAGTTACTACTCCTCCAAACAGAGTGTGACTGAGCTCCTGCTCTCTAATAGATTTCAGCTTCAGACGTTCTGTAACACTTTTCTTTATAAAAGAACGCTGAGCGCCCGAATCTAATAATGCTCGAACGGTCATTATGTTGTTTTCATATACGACGTTTACCATCAATGTTTGTAATAAAGTCGTGCTTATAGGAGCTAACGCAGTTTGGTTAAGCATCGCTTGTTTATCTTTCACCTTATTAACGGACTCCGTTTTTGTACTGTATTTAGACAAGCCTTCACACATGATCGGATAATGCCTTCTATCACAAATGATACATTTTAAATGTTTTCTACACTTGTTTGCTAAATAACCGGTCTTCAAACAAATATAACATGCATTATTACGTTTCAAAATGTTAGGGCGTTCATCCTATGACATTTTGACTGTTGTCGAGCAATCTGAGCTTGTATGAGACTGCTTTTCACACCATATGCATGTTTGAGCTCTCTCAAGATGATGTTCCTTAATTTGCTCCTTTTTGCTGATTGCAGTAAAACACGACGTGGTCGGACCTGTGCTGTTACAAGGTTCATTATAATTATATTTATTACGAGTCAATTTTATTCGTTCGTCTGCCTCTACTTCTGCCCTAATGAATTTTAGAAGCTTTGACAACTGACTGCCATGTTCATTTTGTAAATGAGATCTACTCCACGCTCGTAAGATGTCTTCTGGCAATGCCGATTCAACCATAGCAAACAGAAAAATGGCATACGTATCTTGCGTCACTCCAAGTGACTCTAAAGCTAAAATCTGCGTCATAATTTTATCATACAGTGCTTTAATAGTAGTATTCACAGTGCCTTTCAGTTTCAGTAGTTCTCTTAAATAATGCTCAATCAATATGTCATCGCGTGCAAATCTTTGCTTCAGTTGTTCCAATACTTTAGGATAATTCTGCGCCGAAGGAGGGAAGCTCTCCACTAGCTCTATACTTTGGATAAGGTACTGGAATTTATCCTCATTATCAATGGTATCATCCGAGTCAATCTTTTTGAATTGCGACCAAAATGGGAGCCACTTATGTATCTCTCCATTAAACTGTGGAAGCTCTGTCTTTGGTAACCTTAAGTGACGTCTTTCTGAACTTCGTTTTGTCATTTGATCACCCTCTGAACTACTCCAACACTCTTTACAGTCTTACCAGACCCAGCCATAGTATGGTCAGATAATTCCGTCGCTTCCTTTACTTTTTGCTCTAACTGATACCATCTGGATTCATACTCATCTGCACTATCGCTCTCTCTTTCAATCATTTCCTCATCACGGTTTTCGACCTCCAGCCAAAGGCTAAAATATGTATTTTGTACTTCTACTAAATATTCAAAATATTTACTTAGCTTTTTGAATTCCGAGCAAATATTAGACATCTCCTTTTCATTCAAATATTCTTCTAATTTATTTGCACTAATTGAGAATCGTCTTCGTGCTAATTTGCGTTCGCCATTATGTGAAGAATTTGTTCGCTTCTTCCAGGTTCTTTTGGCCGATTACCTGGCTTACGCCTTGCCCAAGACACTAATAAAAAGAAATAGTCCTTTGGGATAAAATAAATATATTGAAGATCACAAAAAAACCGAATTAAATATAATGGGAAACAAAAAAAATCTTCTTCTTTTCTTTTTACTTTAGACAGCTATCAAAAAATAAATAAAAACCGAATCACTAAAAAGAGCATATACTTAACAAAAAAGTTTTATCATGTTCTACGTGGATTCATGACACTTTGCCTCCCCATCACAGAGAGTAATATGAAAAAACGATTTAAATCTTTGGGCAGAGCGCGGCATTCGGCGGTGTTTTTCAAAATTTTCAGTAAATTATTTTTGTAACTAAAAAAGATGCCAGTTGATTTTTTGAAGGAGGCTGTCATGCAAATTGGAGCAGGTGGATCTGCAGGTTTTGTAGAAATTTGTTTAATGCATCCTCTGGATTTGGTGAAGACAAGATTGCAGCTACAATCATCAAAAACACCAGCCAAACGTGGGGACCCACATCACTATAATGGAATTGTAGACTGTATGAAAAAAATGTACAAATATGAAGGTCTGAAGTCGTTTTGGGGGGGTATTCTACCACCTATCCTAGCTGAAACCCCTAAACGAGCGTTGAAGTTCTTTACTTTTGAACAGTATAAACAGTTCTTCATGTTTGGTTCCCGTAAAGCTACACCTTTAGTAAGACATTTTTTTACATTTTGTTTATTTGTTTAAAATGTTTTTTTTAGTTTTCAATTGGCTACTTTTATTATTGTATTTAACCATGAAACAGAAAAAACTGCTTGAATTTTATACCTAAAGAAAGGTTTAAGTAGGAAAAAATTCCATGACCATGATTTTAGGCTGTTGAGGCTGGACTCGAACCAGCGTCTGCCGATCTTAATGAACTTTACGAATTTGTTCTTGTATTAAATCTGAACAAATGATTCCTCCCGACCTAATGTTTTGTGATGGTGGAGTTCAGGACACATAGATAGCTGATATATATTTCATAGCCTGACATTAATTACAGACAAAACAAGCCAAAATAGCATTTGACGCCAAAGAAAACTAGGGCGCTGGTTCGATCCAGCCCAAACCATTGTAAAAAGTTTCTTTATTTATTTAATTAACACATACCACCAATTATCTAATATTATAACATTATTTTAGACTTTTTCGCTAGCGGGTCTAGGAACTGGAGTGACTGAAGCTATTTTAATAAATCCTTTTGAAGTGGTTAAAGTTTACCTTCAGACTGTTCACGGGGACAGCAAGCACGCAGCTCCTAGTACTTGGTCAGTGACTCGACAGATTCTCAGAGAACATGGGTTCGGTTCTAAAGGATTAAACAAAGGTCTAACAGCTACAATTGCCAGAAATGGTATATTCAATATGTCGTATTTTGGATTTTATCATAGTGCAAAGGGATATATCCCAGAGAATGAGGTATGTTAATGACTACTTTTAAACACATTATAAGTAGTTTGAAATTAAGTTAAACCTACCTGTAACTTTCTCTGTAACAGATAGATCTTAGACAGGGTGTTATTTTAAAATCTTTATGAAGTTTTGAACTTGTCTAGAAATTTTTAAAGTGAAACATAATCTTCTCCAATTTTTTCGCCCATCTATCGCATTCGCATCCTCGCATCACAGCCAGCCGCGGAGTAGGGGAAGAGGGGGGTGGGGGACAGTTCTATTACAAATAAGTTACAACCTCTTCATTATTTTTCTAGCATGTCTTGGAAAGAAAACTCACTACTACCACAATATAGATCTAGTACTTTCACTGTGTCAAATTACTATGTATGGTACGAGTATATATTGTACACTAACTGATCCCGCGAACTTCGTGCCATTTACAAATTGGAGGTAATGAAAACTAAAATTTAAATACGCGATAATCCGAGTAATGTGGATATAGTATGTTCTTGATTCAAAACCCCTAATTTAAGGGACGAACACAAATGTTTGACAGGAAAGTAGACCCGTTTCCACTAGTAGCACAAATTATTAAATGATAAATTTTCATGTTCCCAATTTCAAGTTCGAAGTATGATAGGTGTAAAAAATAACAAAATAAATCAAAAGTTCTAGAAAAAAACCATCTCACGAAGGTTCCAGGAGGCAGAAGTCAAACCTGCGATTTCCGCTGTCCGGGCGGATACACTAACGGTAACAGTAGTATAGCGGTTAGTGCATCCTTCCGAACAGCGGAAAACGCAGATTCGAGTCCTGCCTGAAACCTCGATCGAGTTGATTTTTATCTAAATAGACCAAAAAGATTATAATATTAGGCTTTATCTATGAAATTGCCGTTTTTTTATAAAATAAGTTAACGCTTTTTTTTCTACATTTTTTATTTTTATTAATTAACCCTTAAAGTCGCTTTGTATAGTATACTATACATTCAAAATAAAAAAATGCTAACGAAATATTACAATACTTAGTAATTTCTCTATTAATCGGAACCAGTTCCTGAAGTGTCCTCTTAAAAAATAAAATAAAGAGTAACATGGTCCCAATCTCTATGTGCACGTTACAGTTAATACTTCAAATGTTTTGATAGCAAATTTTTAAAAGCTGCTTTTTATTAGGAATTAGGCACCAATTATCTATATCGCACAACTTAGAAGATGCCAGAGAAAAAATATCTATAATATAAATAAATATATTCATTTTTTATTCGTTATATTATCCACTGTAAATTAATGGTTGTGTATTTTTGTTAATAAGTAGTGTTATTAGTTTTTTGTAGTGTGTATATATGTAGGTGTATAGATGATTGGTTGCGTTCACCATCTCGACATTTTGTCGGTATTAATAAATACCCCGTCCTGTAACCCACAAGAAAAGAGGTATCCATGTCCACAATATGTCTTCTATTATTATATAGTACAAGCTGACCCAGCGAACTTTGTCCCGCCATAAAAATAGGGGTTGGTGGTAGAAGGGTGAAAATTTAGGGTTGTATGTATTTTTTACTGCCGAATCATAAAAAATATATAAAAAATGTCCAAAACATAAAAAAATACTGTTAGGGGTGGACAACCCTTATCACTAAGGGGTATGAAAAATAGATAGTAGCCGATTCTCAGACCTACTGAAAATGCATACAAAATTTCATAAAAATTGGTCAAGCCGTTTCGGAGGAGTATGGTCACTAACATTGTGACACGAGAATTTTATATATAAGATTATGATATTATGTAGTATTAATAGGTATTATGTAGTATTAATTAATTATATAATTATAAACGTATAATGCAATAAAATACGAAACTGGGCTTATGTAGTGTACAGACTATATAATTATGAGGTCAAAATATTTGCATAATGTAGATTAAAATAAGTAAGGATATTGTTAAAAGGCTATATGGTGTTAGGTTGGGCTTGGTTTTATTTTTGTGGAATAATAGAAAAAATATTAAGTTGTAAATGATGATTTTATGATCTTTTTCCGATAATGGAATGAAGACTTTATTCAAGACAATATATATATCTTTATATATATAATTCTTCTGTGAGTGTGTATGTCACTGAACTTCTCTTAAACGACTGGACCGATTTTGATGAAATTTTTTGTGTGTGTTCAAGGGGATCTGAGTATGGTTTAGATTCACAATTTTGTCCGCTGGACAATGTTTTTTTAATATTTTTTATGGCGGTACGAAGTTCGCTGGGTCAGCTAGTATATATATATAATAAAAACATGGTTTGATAACTACGATTGGTTGGGTTTGGGCTGGGTGACCGCAATTATTAATAATATACAGGTTGTTTACGATTGGTTGGGTTTGGGATGGGTGACCGCGATTATTAACAATATGCAGGTTGTTTATGATTGGTTGGGTTTGGGATGGGTGACCGCGAACATTAATAATATGCAATGTTTACGAATGTTAATGTTCAGAGATGATATCATTAATAAGCACCGGTTTCTCTTTCTAATTATTTGTAAAAATAACCTGATTATTATCTTAATTTCACCCCATTACAAAACAGATCAAAGAAAAGTGACACAAAGGGGATTGGGTAATTTTGTATGGAGGTTGGCTTGATTTTTTTTTACAGCGGCCACTGAACTAATTATGATTGTGTGATAGTACTATATATGTGAATTGTTCTTAGCAAAGTAGTAGTTCCATAACTAATATCGGAACCAAGATATTTGATCTTGAATTCTAACAAAAGTCATATGATATAAAAGCTCATTAAATAATCTCCTGAGATTATTTTACATGTTTAGTATTGTGGTAACGCTTTCTAAAAGCTAACATTAATGAAAAAAAAAGAAACAGATCAAAAACTTGATCCAGAGTACCTAGAGTACCTACCTGGGCCGCGCGCGGTAGCATTGGTGCTCGATGACGCCGGTAAGTTCTTTGAAAGAATTCTGGCGGGGCGTAACATCGAGCAACGGGAGCCGGACCCAAATCTGGCAGAGCACCAGTTCGGGTTCCGGCGAAACTGGTCCACGGTGGAGGCGGTGGCCCTTTTGAAGAGGTGGACCGAGGCGGTCCATGTCGGGGAGAGACTGCTATTGTGGTGTAGCTAGACATCCGCAACGCCTTTAACAGTCTTCCCCCAAAATAATACCTGCTTTCATATTTGACAAAAAGTACAGAATACATCTACTGGATGACAACGATCCCAAGGTAACACACAAGGCTCTCATTATCTACATCAAAACATCATCGGGCGCGGGTGTTTTCTCTGAGGACCTCAATATACATATCGCTTTCACCTTATGCCCGTACAACACAGTTTTTCAAGCTGAATGTATGCGCATCATACTGGCGGCAAAGGGCGATCTTTTCAAGAAAGGTAACAGGACAGGAAATACGAATACTGTCCGACAGCAAATCAGTCCTACAAGTTCTAGATGCCTGTTTAGTCAAATCGAGCCTCCTGCAAGAATGCCACCAAACCCTAAACACAATAGGGTAAAGCAATTCTATTACTATCCAATAGATTAAGGGACACAGTGGATCACGCAGAAACGACGCTGCGGATGAACTGGCCCGGAAGGGGTCCGATTAGACCCCAACAGGTCCCGAACCAATCGTCCCGATACCGTTAAGCTGTATCGTAAATAAAATCTGCGAGTACACAGCCGCACTACACCAGCAACACTGATTCGATCTGGAGACGTGCAGGCAGACCAAGCTCGCTTTGCCACGGGTGAACGCTGTCCTCTCCAAAACTCTTCTACAGCTAAGCAAACCTACATTGCGCATGGTAACAGGTGCTATTACCGGACATGCACATTTTAACAAACATCTTTTTAACTTACTTGTCACGGACAACCCTCTATGCAGAGGATGCATGGAGGCAGAAGAAACAGCTACTCACGTTCTGCTGGAATGCAACGGAGTGACCGAATACCGGGCGAAATACCTCGGCTCACCGGGAAACTTCCAAGAGGTAGTCACCAATGTGAAGGCCCTGGGGGCGTTCCTGATGGAGCTGGGCTGGCTGGAGTAATTCTGGCTATACACCCTCCTAACACAAAACAGGCGCCATAAGGACGTCGAGTTGCGGAAACGCCTGTTGAAAGAAGAAGAGAACAATCTCCCCCACGAGTGTATTGGCAGGCACTGCGTTTTCACTGCGTGCCTCCATACCTGCGAGCCGTCGTGGAGGACTACCTGCAGGAGAGGTCAGTTTTCTACGAGGGGCCCGATGGAAGCGCTCTCGGCCATGGCTGCAGGGGTACCCCAGGGGTCAGTGCTGGGTCCACTGCCTTGGAACCTGGGGTATAACTGGGTGCTGCGAGGCAGCCTCCTTCCCAGCATGGAGGTTGTCTGCTTCGCCGACGACACCATGGTGGCGGCGAAGGCAAAGTCGGTATAGGAGCCGGTTTGCCTGGTCGGCACTGCGCTAAGCCGGTGCGGCGGCCTCTTTTCCGCATAGTGCAGATACTGACCGGACACGGATGCTTCGGTTACTACCTGTACCGTATCGCCCGCCGGTAAGAAACGCCGCAATGCCATCATTGCGGCGCCCCGGACGATACTACCGAGCAAACCTTGTTGGAGTGCTCGGCTACAGCAGTGCTGCGACCTAATCGCGGCGCTGGGAGGCGGAGCCTTCTCGCTTAGGAGCACGGTAGAGGCCATGCTCAGTAGCGAGACGGCATGGAAGGCGGCTGCCTCCTTCTGCAAGAACGTCATCTCGTAGAATGATGCAACCGAGAGCGAGCGGGAGGATGATCCCCTGGCCGCTCCCTCCCGCCGAAGAAGAGCGGGCAGGAGAGGACGAGTGTGCGCCCGTCCCATGACCCTGCCCGTGGGGATCCCGAGCTGGCTACACTGGCATATATATAGAGCTGACATGATCTTCACATATACGAGACCCAAGTGGAATATCGAAAGGCTGATGTGATTGGCTGAAGCAGTCAGACCAGACAGAAAAGGGTCTGTTTTAGACAACAATTCATACAAAAAAGCACATAAGATTTAATGATACGAATTTACGATTATTCTATTTTAAAAAAATCATATCTTGGCTTCGATGTACTTTACAGATATATGGCCATAATATTTTATTTTTAATATTTTTAGTTCTATTCAATAAAAAAAAAACATTCGTGGCCGCAGACTTTGAAAATCAAGCCACTTTTACCCAAACCCCTTTTAAACTACTATTCTTCATCTAGAGAACGCTAACAAAAAATACGTATCTTAGGGTAAGTTACGTATTTTTTGTTCACTACCACCTAAGCCATAGCCCATAATATAAAAGTGAACGAGACGGCAACATAATGAACTTACGATTTTCTTTTCACAGTGAACAAAGTTGATACAAAAGTAAGCACTTAGGCTCAGAATAGTAACGCGCTTAGTTACAACAATGCATGCGTTTTAAAAATTTTAATGTTGAAAATTTTAAAGGAAAAGAAAAAGTGTTTTAGTAAAAAAAGTATCTTCAAAATACTAAGATACTGAAAAAAAGTATTTAAGTACAAGATACAAAACAAATTTAAAAAGTATGTGATATACAAAATACTAATACCTACGTATTTTGTATCTTGTAGTGTAGATACTTTTATAAGATAAGTCACATCTCTGTACGACAGAACGGTAATTTCATAGGTAAAGACTATTATTATATTCAAAATTCTAGGAAAATCTGGTGTGGTGTGATTATACCATAGAACTACGAGAACAAGGCATTTATAATTTGCTAAATCAACTCCGCAGTAGCACGAGGATTAGGGCTTCCTCGTGGTCCCACTAGTAGAACAAGTTAGTAGGACCGCGAGGAAACGACTGAAGGTAGGTTTATATGGAAAAATTATATTGGTATGTTTACTATCTTCTTTGCAAGTTTCCCATATTTTCTCTTCGTTTAAATCTTCACTGGACCCTGGACTACTCGAAAACCAAAACCTGCTAAATCGGCCCAGCCGTTCTCGAGTTTTAGCGGAAAGAACTATTTAACAAAGAATTTAAACCGCCGAAAAGTAAAAAAAAATACTAAACCATTTTTATCTTTAGACAAATTAATATTTTGGAGTTACCTAACACGAACATGAATTATTGAAATCTTAAACGGCCTTGGCTGCCAGATCCTTACCCACACCTCTAAATCTGGCCCTGGCCCGCATTTAGTGGTTATGCCCTACATTCAAATAAATACTATTGCCTTACCTTTATACAGGGAGGGGGCACGCCATTATAAATACCTACAACACGGTGCCTCAAATAATTACATAAAAATTTCGTTTCAATTTCGTTTCGGAGAAAGCGAGTAGAGCTCCAGTTAATTACAGCAAGATGACTGATGGTTTGGTCATTGGTATTAACATTGACCAGTGATGTACTTTTTTAGGATCCTCTATTAGAATTCTGCAGAGTAGTGATAACAGGTTTCATAGCTGGCGTTCTGGGTGCCGTTATCAATATACCATTTGATGTGGCAAAGAGCCGCATTCAAGGCCCGCAGCCTATTCCAGGAGTCGTAAAATATTCCTCTACTATTGGAACAATTCGTCTGGTGTACAAAGAGGAAGGGTGAGTACTAGAAGCTTTTGATAAAGATACTTATTTTTATTGTCATCTATATATTCAGAAGTTCTAAGAATAGGGCAGGGTAAACTTGTCAGTTGGGTAGTTCACCACATTTTTGTAATTTTGTCATTGATATTTTTTGGATAGAAGTTGTAGTTTCCCGAAATTCGCGAAAAATCTTTAAAAGGTCCCCCTCCCCCAAACCTTCCCGACCCCAAATCACCCGTAGTTAATTTATTTTTTCTCTTTTTGTATGTTCTTAATTTTGGTATGTATTTTAACCTGTTCCTATTTTGTTTTTTTAGGTTACAAGCTCTATACCAGGGACTTTTGCCCAAAGTGCTGCGCCTGGGCCCAGGAGGAGCCATCATGCTAGTGGTTTACGACTACGTATACCACCTATTAGAACACAAGCTATTAAATTAAATCTTAGTTCACCAAATATTAATTCTTTTATTATGAGAAATGTAAATATCGTAAGGTAGGGGAGCCCAAGTGGGGATTTTTGATTTTACTCGAGCGCGGGAGATTTACATATGAGGGGCAACCCTGCACCTTGAAAAGTACTCCCACCATACCTGGGGGCCAACGGGATTGCTTTAGAAAACGCTATCGCTTACGATTTCATTTTATTATTTCTAGCCACCTAAGGTTTTCAAATGCCTCGCGCTCTTTTTTTTTCATTTGCATTGGTAATAAGAATATATAAGAAAATGAGCGTGAGGTATTCGAAAACCTTCGGCGGTCAGAAATAACAAAATGAAATCGTAAGCGATAGCGTTTTTCATAACAATCCCGTTAGGCGAATGGCCCCCTGAGGTTTCTATGTGAGGCCGAACGTCTAAAGCAGCAAAAAAAAATTTCAAAAAATTGCTCGTATCCAAATCTTCAGTTTTTGAATAGGAGCTACTGGAGGGTTGATGTAACATCCCTTCTCAATGTCTGACCTGCTCGAATATTCTTTTTTCCCTACATCCTACCTTTTCATATGGCTACCTCCACACCATGCAAACAGGCAGATCAATATTTTTCCGGCCTTAGAACCTTTACGTGAACCCTCCATTAGCTTCTATTCAGAAGACTAACGATTTGGATATGACTAAATGCCATGACCGTTTGTTGTAATATTTTTTGCTTCCCTATGCGTTCGGCCCTACATAGAAAGCTCAGGTATGGTGGGAATACTTCTCAAGGTAGTGTTTTTTTACGGTGACCTGTAAGGTCACAGAATGGGTATATAATGTAAGGTGAGATGGAGCTTTTGCTTCTGCGGCTTTGCGTTTTTGTTCCCATAGTTGGCGTGATGTTTGAAGAGTGCGTTCATTGCAACAACACGCTTGTGTTTGCACACTAACGACAATTTGTAATACTCATTACATATTTTCGTATATTATTTAGTCGTACGTGTGTAACTCGTACCCCGCCAGAATTGACAGAAACTTTTGTAAGGAATGAAGTGCTAGGCTACACCTACAGTTTGTCTATAAAGTCATGACATTAAATGATGGCGCCTCTAGTATGCATGTAGCAACCCTATACAGTCGGACCAAAATGATTTTGATACTAGCAGTTCATTCAAGTAAAATAGGTAATTAAGACACACTATACAGTCGTATTTTGTATCTGTTTTATATGTATTAGGTACCTATGCTTATAAAAAGTTTAGCCAAGCATATTTATTTGAATCAGAATAAAATTATTATAGATAAAATAGTACTTTATAGTGTGAAAGTGTGTAATGTTGGTGATTACCGCTGAGGTGCCATTGAGACCAGAGCCGTTAGGTAATCATCAATACACACAAGTATCATCATACGACGTTTTTTAACACACTTGTTAAGAAAATAATACTAAAAATCATTTTATAGTATATAAAAAGTTTATTTAGAGAAACAATTTGTAAATGTGCAGTTAGTAAAATTAGTGATAGGTATCTTCACTAAAAGCATCTGGCCTTTAGTGGTTCTTTATGTAACCATTTCTTTCTTTGGTCGGCTTTGCCTGTTTTCCTAGGAGTTTCAAACTTTCCATCATTCTTAAAACCTTCGTTGACTATCCGACTCTCTGATTTTCCTGAAAAAAAATAAAAAAATATGTAACGGAATAGAAACAATAACTTATTGACATGAAGCAATTAATTCAAAATTGGTAGAAAACCTGACCGAGTTGAACCATAATAATGTATCAAAAGAAATGATCGTACTAAAATATTACCTATTTACAATGTCAATCTAACCTAAAACTGTGCAATGTAAACAATGCCTTTTTTGGTCTCAAAACCATAAATTGAGTAAATTTGTAACTTCAGGCAGATTACAAACAATTAGTTAAACGATTACATACCCGTCATAGATGCTGTTCGCCCATAAACATCATCCAAATCCCACAAAATTCGTCCAGCTTGGTAGCCTTCGAAACATCGCTGGAAAACTTTAAAAATCACTTCCCGCGTGCCTCTCCGATTTACTTTACTCATTTTTATACCTTTCTGCGTAGTTTCGTCTTAATTTATTACAGTTTAATCCAAACAATAAAAAATACAAAAGGAATACTGTTCCACAACTGAAACTGTGAAATAGGAGTATACCTATTAAAGGATTCACATAAGTTGTGCCAGCTATTGCATTTTTCCTCCTTAATAATAAGTTTTTTCTTGGCATCAATTTTTTTAAATGATATGTAATTATGTAATGTCATGTATGTTTTCAGGGCATCCCTAGAGTTTTTAACAGCATCTGCACACTTACTGTTCCACCAGGGGGCTGGGCTATGTCTCACATGGTTGCTATTTTTGTTTTTGGAAATAGGTACGCATTCTTGCTTTAATTTATCTATTAACTGACAGAAGTGGTCATAGTACTCTAAAGGGGTTTCTTCAACTTGTTCAACTCATAATTTTCAAAATACTCTTTAGATTTAAGGAAAAACTTTGTCCAATCTGCTTTGTGAAAAAGATACCTCTGATTTGTATCACCTACTTGGTAAACCAATGGAGAAATATTTATGTCTATGAATGTTGGGTAATGAAAGCTACCTAGTGGATCATCGCCCACTCTCCACTGACACAGAGGAGCAAGACTAGAGCTTATACAGCTAACATCAATTGCTGAAGAATTTTTATTAGGACCCTGTACAGTTGTGTGTAATCCTGTGTTCAAGATACATAGATCAGTTTCATCAAATAAATCATATAGTTGTCTACCACGTGCTTTAGTACTTTGACAGCCAAATGCAATATGATGCGCATTAAAATCTCCTGAAACTAGGCATGGTCTAGGAATAATATTCATTATTTTTTTTAACTTATTAATATTAAATCTTCTTTCATTTCCAGGAGGGCAATACGAGCATAAAATGGAGATGGGACCCCTATCAGTGAAAAGACATAGAGCTATACATTGGATCTCCTCATAAAAAGGAATAGAGATTTGGGTGAACTTTAACGTGTCTTTTAATAAGATTTGGCATTAATATAGATAAAATTGTAGCCTGGAAATCTAATTGAAGATGTCTTTTTTAGCCAAGTCTCATTCAACAGCAATACATCAATGTCATGATCTTGTAGGAAACTGATTACCAAGGGTTTTTTACTTATTAAACTTTGAATATTATGCTGAACAATTTTTAAAAATTGTCTTTGACTGATATTAGTGTTTCTGAACACTTTTAAAATTACTTCTTTAATATTTTTTGTTGTTTTAATTACCCAAGGACACTAGTGTTTTAATAATGGAATTCATAAATTTTCATTGCTTAAAATTGAATCTATATGTTTATTTGAATTAACTAACTTCTTGGTTGAGAAATTAGTGAGGGGGAGGGCAGGAAAATCGTCAACAGACGAGTTTTTTAACACACTTGTGAAACTTTTCTTTTTGTTATCTACTTTGGCCATTTTTATTGGGCATGACCTAGAAACTGCCAGATGATCCCCACCACAGTTACTGCATTTCAGAACTTCTGAATCACAGTCTCTGAAGCTGTGATCACCCGAGCACTTGGAACATACCTGTTCATTACGACAGACCTTAGCTGAATGGTTGAACTTCAGACATCGGTAACACTGCATAACTGGAGGAACGTATTCATGGACCTTGTATCTCCAATTATCCAGATAAATAAATTGTGGTAATATTGTGCCTGAAAAAGTTAGAGATTGTTGTTAGGGGAACCAAATCTGAACCAGTTTTCTTCATGAAGCGTCTAACTGAGATGATCTCAGCATTCGCGTTGAGTTTAGAATATAATTCTTGATTTCCCACTTCTGTCGGGATATAACGCACTACCCCAACCCTCTCCACAGAAGCTGCAGGAATATATGCCCGCGTGCCATTTTGAGCCAAACAGTCATGCCATAAAAAGTCATTGGCAGCTGCCGCCTGCTTAAATACTATCATTATTTTGGACGCGTTGACTCTACGTCGTTCAAAGATGCCTTTAACATTCTTAAAAAACTTCGATAGTTGTTATGGATTTTTATTACCAATTTTGTCTTCCTTTTGAATACTCTCCACATAAACTGGAAATTCCGTGACAACAGAGTCTGGAACATCAGGATAACTCCGTTTGTACCCTGGTTTTGAAAAAGTTTTTTATTTGGCGCCATCGTCATACGATTCATGCCTCCTCCGTTTTTTGGGTTTAGAGAACCTGGGTGTGCCACCAGTATCGTCCCCATCGCTTTCGCTAGTCATTTTTCTAAATGAAAACTCGTTTTAAGCTTTTAGATAGTTAAAACTAATTAAAATAAAATAATAACTTTAAAAAAGGCCGCTTTCACTTTCCCGCCGGAAATCGGTCTCCAGCTGATGTACATAAGTTTGGTGTTGCCAGACACATGAATAATGTTAGTTCCTCAAACATTCATGTCACGACTTTATAGACAAACTGTATTTAATGGATCGACGAGTGTAATATGTTCCTGCCTTTAAACGGGATTTACACTACCCAACTTAAAAGCCCAATCGATAGGATGGGCGTGGCATGGCACCTACTCGTAGCTAGGGTAAGCAATTATTACACCGCGTCGATCGCTCTAGTTTTGATCCCTTACTCATCTCATATTACATCACCCTTAGTCAGGGTAGGGGTCTCTTGAAATTGGGTAGTGTAAACGCCGAATTATTGTAGCTTGCTACCTCATAACAGAGTTTGCTACATATACCTAAAAATGTAATCTGTGGTCAAACTCAGAGATTTTTACTCTATATAATCTGGAAAAGTTTTTGGCGGGATTTCATCGGGTGTGGTAGGCGTCTTATTTTTATTATTCTTAAATTCATAGTAGATATTGTGAAATAAAATTGGTGTGATTTTGTGTTACAACTGTCTGCGTAACTGAAGAATTAGTAGAATCGACAAAATATACGCTATCCCGGTCAAGTGGACGTGAGAATTTTATTGTAGTATTGACTACCTCACAGAAGCTTATCGAAAAAGGCAACTCGATCCATTTCGTGCCAAACACTTCAAGAAACATTAGAATGCGTCACACCGACATTCTAATGTAAAAAGAAAAACAGAATAATTTAACTTAAGACTAGGCTGTATGGGCATTGTTCCCCTTGCCTTCCCTGAAAACGGAGAACTTAACCAAAAAAATCTATATAATCTGTGCTCAACCCCACCCTACCGCCCCCCACCTCTCCACACAGCCCATCCATCCCCTTAAATTTTGTAGTATTTTTCTATTGGTAAAAGAAAGAAACACCACAGGAGCGCGCAGTTTTTTTAAGAGTTTAAAAGTTCTTTTGCGATTTAAATTTTAACAAAAATTCGAGATGCCAGATATCGAGAAACTTTTGAAGCAGGCTGCAATGCAAATTGGAGCAGGTGGATCTGCAGGTTTTGTAGAAGTTTGTATAATGCATCCTTTGGATTTGGTGAAGACAAGATTGCAGCTACAATCATCAAAAACACCAGCTAGTCGTGCGGACCCATATTACTATAATGGAATCGTGGACTGCATGAAGAAAATGTATAAGCATGAAGGTCTGACGTCGTTTTGGAAGGGTATTCTGCCACCTATCCTTGCTGAAACCCCTAAACGAGCTGTAAAGTTTTTTACTTTTGAACAGTACAAACAGTTTTTTATGTTTGGTTCCAGTACACCTACACCTTTAGTGAGATTTCTTTTTTTCATTTTAGTTAATGCTTAAAAATTTTTGTTTAGCTAGTTTTCAATTGGCTATTTTTATTTATATATATAACAGATTCATTTTTGTATATAAAGACGTTTTTACTAGATAGACTTCAACTCTGCTATGGTTTCAGGCTGGACTCGAACCAGTGTCTTTTTTAATGTAGGCAAATGCACTAACTGCTAACCTATAGATTTTAATAGACTTTTTTTTTAAGAAATTTCTTCTAGTTTTTCTTTAGCCTGGCGTTGATTGATATTTGTTAAGTTAAGATTACAGACAAATATAATAGTCCAATAAGATACAATTACGCTGTTTCAATCCAGCCTGATACAATGTGAAAAGTTTCTTTATTTAATACAAATACTTCTTAGTAAATGATGACAATGATTTTTTAGACTTTTTCCCTAGCCGGTCTGGGGGCTGGAGTGACAGAAGCTATTCTAGTCAATCCCTTTGAAGTGGTCAAAGTTACCCTTCAGTCTAATAAGGCATTAAGCAATCAAGTACCTAGTACATGGTCAGTGACTCGCCAGATTGTCAGAGAAAATGGATTGGGTTCTAAAGGGTTAAACAAAGGACTAACAGCTACAATTGCTAGAAATGGTGTATTCAATATGGTGTATTTTGGATTTTATCACAGTGTAAAGGGATATATTCCAGAGAATAAGGTATGTCAGTCTTTTTTTAATACATATGGTTTTAAATTAGGATGAACCTATAACTTCTACCTCACAGCCACAGTAATTATTCAAACAAGTGGGGATGGGAACAAATGAATACATGTGGATATTTCAAAAACACATATCCTTGTTTGAAATTAGCAGTCATATGTAATTACAGGCAGAATGCTCTTATTTTCTACAAGAGATAGGGGGCCTCCCTATGTCTTAAGTTTTTTGCGAATTCCTCAGGAACCTAACACTACAATGGAAAAAGTAATTTTTAATGTAATTTGTTAATATTTCAGCATTTCTCAAATACATTTTTGTAATGTTTTGCCAAATACATAATGTTTAAAAGCGCCTGGCAAACTTTTAGACTTTTATCAAAATGAACAAGCTTGTTTATTATTTTACATTACAGCAAGATGACGGATAAAAACATGAGCAGTTTAATTAATTTTTTTAGGATCCTCTTTTAGAATTCGGCAGAAAAGTTATAATAGGTTTTACATCTGGAGTTCTGGGTTCCTGTATCAATATACCATTTGATGTGGCAAAGAGCCGCATTCAAGGCCCGCAGCCTATTCCAGGAGTAGTTAAATATTCCTCTACTATTGGAGCAATTCGGCTGGTGTACAAAGAGGAAGGGTGAGTTGTTATTCTTGATATTTTATTTCAATTATACTTATTGGAGAGCATAGCATCATCATCATCAATTTCAGTTTTATGATTAGGCTATTCTTTGTACTAAGACATGTGTATATATATATCGGATTGGAAAAGAATTAGCATTCTATCACCTATCACTGGATCAATACAATACTTTTGTGATGCTTATAAGTGTGCAATGCACCAACAACAAATTTTAAAAACCATTGACCCAAAAATAATGTAAAAAGGGAAAAAAGAAATGTGTTGGGCCCCTTAACTTTGTAGTAACTACTAAATAATAATAAGACCCAGACATCGTTTTAGAGACTCCATATTATAATGGCATGAAGAACATGCCATACCCTCTAAAATACCATGGATTATGATTGGGACGAGACGACAGCCAGTCTTCCGCTCTGATAATATAAAGTTTTTTTATATATATTATAGGGACATACGAGCTGACGGTTCACCTAATGGTACCTAAGTTATCACCGTCGCGTCGCCCATAGACACCTGAAACACCAGACAGGAGTTTCACAAATGCAATTCCGGCCTTTAACCAAATTTAACATAATTTAAATTAATATAAAGTAAATAATCATAGAGACATTTATTTACAGATAATTTTTACAAGGAAAAATCCACTTAAAGGTACAAGTTTTATTACTTTGATGTAGAGTAAAAAAAGAACAACTCCAACATTATCATATCATATCTCACTAACACTTGTTCTGTTTGACTGATTTATCTATTTGTATAGGTATTTGTTTATCTCATATAATATGAAATGTAGGATGCATGCCTGGCAACAACAAATGGCAATTTGACAGAGAAGAAATAAAATATGATATGTGCTTGATTTTTATGGCTTACAATTTATTTAGCCTGGGTATGGTAGCCCTTTTAAAACAGTAGTAACATTTCAGTTTAAAATTCCTCTGTTGATTTTTGGATTCTTTATTTGTTCGGATCAGATATGATTGATAAGTAGTACTTTCGGAGATTAGTTATTTATTATTATCATATCTGTTAGCTGAACTTGATTAAGCGGCACGAGTAGGATAAAAAAAACTGGCCAAGTGCGAACGCGCTATGCAAACGCAAACTTATCTGCAGCATTGTATATTTTTACACGCGTAATAAATCTAGATTTACTCTCAGTTTAACATAAAAAGGTACACAAATGTTAACGTTGATCCTTCCACCCTCCGAGTTCCAACGCGGCGGGCGCGGCGCGTTCGTCCGCTCCCGACTCCCGTCCTGCGGATTTACGCATTGGCCATGTAGATGGGCTAGGCTAATGGTAGCCATACACACTACGAGAAATCGTTACGATCACACTGTACAGTTGGAACGGAACAGTTTATCGTACGTGGCGTACGTATAGGAAACTGTGCAGTTTTATAATGCCAGCCATACACACTACGAGAAATCGATACGATCAGACTGTACAGTTCGAACGGAACAGTTTATCGTACGTGGCGTACGTATAGAAAACTGTGCAGTTTTAGCAGTTTTTCAACATAGACGCTACGATTTATCGGTACCGTTCGAACTGTACAGTCTGATCGTAACGATTTCTCGTAGGGTGTATGGCCGGTATAACATACACGCTACGATTTATCGGTACCGTTCGGACGGTACAGACTAATCGTAATGATTTCTCGTAGTGTGTATGTCTACTATAAGCGCGGGTGCGGGTGACTTCTGCGGGCGTGGGTGGCATGCCACGTACATTCTGTAGCGGCTACAGAGGCTGACTAAGTGGACGTATTGAGGATGGCTCTAACTAAAGTGATGCGTAGTTGCCTTGACAGCAGTTCGTATTTTATGGCGAATACTATACAGCGGCGGCGCTAGACCACATGTGGACGTCGGCAACATCAAGTTCGCGAGGCCTATTTTAATTCGCAGTAAAAAACCGTTAAATTAAGTGAGCCAAATTATAAAATAACGTATGAGTAAACGATTTTTATTGCTGATAATCAAATGATGACAAAAAATAATTACAAACATAGAAATTTAATTACAAAAATAGTGTTGCCAATCAACGAATTTATTAAAAAACAACCATGTGTCTGAGTAAATATAGTAGTCCGGTCAAAATAGACATTCAAGGTTACATTAATGCGCACCCAGCTAAAAATTGGCATGAATGTTGGGAACCCTGTTACACACAATTTGTCAATTTTCCACATGAATCCAACGTGTGGAAAAAAAATATTCAAGGTCAAATGTTGCAAAAATCGGTTTTTTGAGTTCTCCAGCTAAACGGTAAGTTTTATCATAAAAATAGGCGAAACAAAAATTATTTATCATGCAATTATCTGTAAAATTTGTTTAGACACTTTTTTTCCTAAGAATCACCATTTCAGAGATATAGCGATGTAAAAAGTTAAAAAAGTTGTGTTACACATAATATGCACACGTTTCCGCGCCACCCGTGAGGTAGTGTAAATGGTGCGTTTAATTTTTCCGTGGTTTCCCCGGTAGGCCTATTCCACGATCTATTGTGGTTCTGTTGAGTTAAAAGCTATTGTATTAAATTGAAAATGGTACTATTGTAATGACAAGGGCGGTGTAAGTAATGAGTAATTTGAGAAAATTATTCGTCTGATTGATACTCTTCTAATGGAACATAATCCATACTGTCTTGTTCTTCTTCTTCTCCTTCTTCTTCCTGCTGGGTACAAATAAATTGTTCAAAGAGCGATGCATCAGATGTCTCCTCGCATATATTGTAAGAATCCTTTTCTACTGGCGATTGAATATTGGAGCACGATTGGCCTCGACAACTGATCTAATGAACAAAACAACATAACTTTTTTACAGCCGCATTTAGCATTACACCCCATTTTGCGATTGCAAAAAAATGAATTGAGGAGTTTTTCTGGTGCAGGAGGGAGTAAAGTCTTAACTGGTTCCAATATATTGTCAATTAACTTCCAACCCTAGTCTTCTGGGTTTAGTTTATTACCGAGCCATACTTGAACTTGATAATATACCCGAAATAGATGTTGCTGAGCAGAAGCAGAGGTTGTAGGAAGACAAGCTAATTGTACTTGTTTTTTTATGCGTATTTTTAGCAAAAGATAAGTATCGAAACTTATCTAAGCACGTAATTTTTTTTGGAGCTCTGACTGACTGACTGGACGGGCCTGGTTTTTTCGAGTTCATATTCTTACAGTTGTATAGTATGCATGTATATGCCACGAAAACTAATATGTTTAACTTATATTATCGTTCTGTAACGTATATAACGGTAATTGACATACAGATTATGAAGAATACAACTTTTTCAACATTTTGCATCGTTTATCTCCGAAATGGTGAATATTAGGAAAAAAAGGGTATGAACAATTTTTATAGATATAGACAATTGCATGATGAATAATTTTTGCCTGATATATTTTTATAATAAAACTTACCGCTTAGCTGGAAAACTCGAAAAACCGATTTTTGCAACATTTGACCTTGAATATTTTTTTTCCACACGTATTTATGTAGATAATTGACAAATTGTGTGTAATAGGGTTCCCAATATTCATTCCAATTTTGAGCTAGGTGCGAATTAATGTAACCTTACCCCTATTTTTGAAGCTAATTTGACCGGACTATAGATGACAAAACAAGGAGTGTTATTTTCTGTAGCTCTAAGAGGTTATGTTTATGTTGTGCATAGACTTAAATGTTCTTTTCATTTTTGTTTAGGTTGAATAAGTAAATATGTCATAATCCAAAGAAAGTTCTAATGTCAAGCATTAGTATAGCAATTGCCTTGTTTCTTTATTTTATCAGTAGAAAGTATAATTTTGTTTTATATAATTTTATCAAATTTGATTGATGATTGATGTTATTTTGATTGGCAGCCCCGCAATGACTAATAAAATCGACTGGGCAGGTTTACCAACGATTAAATTCGACGGTAATACTTTGTCACCAAGTAACCAAGTAAAAAATTTGGGGGTTATAATAGACAAGAACCTTAATTGGGCATCTCAAATACAGGAAGCAAGCCGTAAAATGTTTGCTTCAGCTGGTTCCTTGAAAAGGTTAAGTAATTTTCTTCCAATTGCTACTAAAACTGCGCTCGCAGAATCTCTTCTCCTACCAATCTTGGACTATGCCGATTTCAGCTATCTAGACCTAACTGAGGAGCAACTGAATAAACTTGAGCGGCTTCAAAACTTTTGTATTAGGTTCATATTTGGCTTGCGCAAATATGATCATGTATCCGATTTCCGCACTAAGCTCAAGTGGTTGCCAATTCGTCTTCGCCGGAACATGCATATCCTTTCCCTTCTCTACAGTATATTATTTAATCCCTATACTCCATCTTATCTCAAGGACCGTTTTAATTTCCTGCCTGATACACATGCTCGTGTTTTGAGATCGTCAGAGAATTTAACACTCGAGATTCAAATGCACTCCACGAAATTTATGGACAAGTCATTTGTAGTTCAGGTTGCTCGTTTGTGGAATGCCTTGCCGTAAACAATTAGAGGTGCTAAAACATTACCTTGTTTTAAAAAAATGTTAAAGGAACATTACCTGACACTTTAGCTAGTCATCACATCATCCAAAGTATGATTAAATTGTTATTGTATTTATATATGGATATATTATGTTTATGTACTTGTATTTTATTTTAGTTTTTGTTGTACATAATTATTTATAAGTATTATTAATGGTAGTTTTACTTTAAATGACACCATCTACTTCCCACTCTCTATGTAACAGTCCAGTTAACATACGGTTGCCTGGAAGAAATTGCTTCTTAGCGATAAGGCCGCCGTTTGTACTCTAATTTTATAGTCTTAATTAATTGTAATTTACAATCTCAGGGTGTACAATAAAGTTATTCATTCATTCATTCATTGATTTTGGTATGTTTTACTGTCTTTTTGTTACCACTTTCTATTACCAATACAATCCCGGGATTAACTGAAGATAATCCCGAAATCCCGGGATTAGAAAAATCGACCAGGGTCGAATCCTCTATGCGTGAGTCGGCGGGATAAACCGGCAGGAAATAGTTCCTGCCGCCGGTTTGTCCCTCCCGACTCAGATAGAATATAGATTCGCCTTATTACAAAAAGTGGGTAGACTAAAGTTAGGTTTGGTTTGAACCTAATGCAGTCTTTGTCTTCAATAAACATATACCATAGATGAATGATAGGTCTCGTGAAGCAAGACCTATCATTCATCTATGCCTTAGACAACGTTTTGTAATAAGACAGCAAGAGTTTCTTTTTGATTCGGCGGAACCCTAAAAATGATTTTTATTCCATATTAAGGTAATAACATAGTAGTTACCTAGTTTTGTCTGTCTCACAAAAAGCCAATAATAATACCTTTTGAGCAAATAACAAAAACAGACATCCTTAAACCGAAATCACTAAAATTTAGAAATAATTATCTTTTGCTCAAGGCTAAAATTCCAAGGTCAAGGCACATGTATATTATATCTGATATTAGTTACATATAAACTATGACGCACTTGGTGTTTTAACAAGGGCACTGGCAATTTCGCTTTGAAGTATGTAATTATTTAAAAATAATTCCTTATAGACTGAGAGCCAGTGTTCCACAGACTAACGGTATAGTAGCAAACTCCATATTAATGCTAGTTATACTAATTCATCTGCCGTAGATCAAATGGGGGTTCACTAATCCCATAGAGGGTTCCTTTAGGCGTGCCTAGAAGTCGAAAAACATAAAAAATCACTTTCAAAGCGTATTCGCAGCATGTCTGATGTACATGTATAATAATGACGTAAAAAAATACATAAATTTGCAGCTTTGCTGAAACACTACTTCCCTGCGAAATGAAGAGTGAGAAAATCAAAATCATGCAACTTCAATAGCGCGACTGAGAAAGTATCGTGTGGTCTGCCCGCATGTCAGAACCGACCTACGAGTCTGTTTTTGTAAATATATGTTTATAAAAATAATATATAATTTTTAGCTTTGATAAAATATCGCAAATTTTATGATATTTTGGAAACTATGATATTATATAAAATATAGTAGGGACCGGAACAAGTGTCTGCCATTAAGTTTTTCTATAAAAAAGAAATATATATTTTAAGATATCAAAACGGCATGCTGCGAACACGTTTTGAAAGTTGATTTTCATGCTTTTCGACTTCTAGGCACGTCTAAAGGAACCCTCTATGGAAATAGTGAACCCCCATTTGATCTACGGCAGATGAATTAGTATAACTAGCATTGATATGAAGTTTGGTACTATACCGTAAGTCTTCGGAACACTGGCTCTGAGACTATTAGTGTTTCGTACCCAGAGTAAGCCTCTGCTGGCCGTCCGTTTCTCTAACAGACCTTAGCCTTACCCCAGAGAACATAATATAATCTATTGAAAAACTAACACAAAGGCCGCCTGCACCAAAGTTCTTAAAGGCCTGCAAGACGAAATTTTTGTCCGCCAACTGCATCGTGTAATGCACGCGAGTGATTAAAAGTACCGCGTACAAAAAGTCCTACGAATAACCGATGTCGGACGCCGAAAGATCGGGCAGGACAAAAGTACGGGAAGTCCCCGAAAAAAAAAGAACTCATGTGACTAGGCACAGCAATGCGCACCGACAGCAGCACTAGTCTGCGTTGAGTTCTCGATCCGATATAAAGGGACCCACTCACTCGGTATCTGCTGTAATCACACTAATATTATAAAGGCGAAAGTGTGTGAGTGTGTATGTTTGTTACTTCTTCACGTCTTAACGGCTGGAACGATTTTAATAAAATTTGGTATGGAGTTAGCTGACACCCTAGATTAACACATAGGCTACTTTTATCCCGAAAAAATGTAGGTTGCAGAGGGATTTTCAAGAAACTAAGTTAAAGCAGACGAAGTCGCGGGCGACTTCTAGTTTAAAATAAAAGGCAATCGTTATTTACTGATCTATCAATGCACAGCTCAAACCTCTCAACAGATTGCGCTGAAACTGGGTACACATATAGCTTTTATGATGTAGTCGTGCGGTAAGAAAGGATTTTCAAAAAAAAATAAAACATGGTAAAATGGGAGTTCAAAGAGCACCAAAATCGTGAGGAGTTCCTCTAACTAAATAAACCATTTCGACGAACTCAGGGGTACCAACTAGTTCTCTTTGATAAAGCCTTCTGTTTTTCCCAAACAGAAGACTTTCATATAAATTACAACATTTACAACACGACGTAATCTCAGAATATTTGGTTCCATAGTGTGCGCTTTTCTAAATGTGTCTGTCTGTCTGTTTGTTTCACCAGGCTGTAGCTATCTATAAACCGTGATAGCTAGACAGTTTTAATTTTCACAGATGATGTTTTTCTGTTGCTTTAGCAAATATGAAAAACAGAATCAAATAAATATATAAGCTCCCATACAACATACGTGTTTTTTTCTCTATTTATATTATTAACTAGTGACCCGCCCTCGTTTCGCTTCGGTGTAGAGCTGTAGTGTAGTTAGACTATAGTTTTTATTCTCAGGCTTGTATTATACACAATGAGTTTCTATATAAAAGTTAATTTAACTGTTAGAGAAAATTTTGTTGCGTACTTTAGGACCCGTTGTACCGACTGCACATTTTTTTTGATTGAACGTACAAATATCAAGAAGTGATGGTCCGATTTGAAAAAAAACTTTGTGTTATATATAATAGTGCATTTATTGAGGATGGATTAAGGCTCTAAAACATCACACTGTGACCAGTAAGAGCAGATCATCTATGAAAAATGTTGCAAAAACGTATAAAATATTCCACTTGTGAGCTTCCGTGGCGTGCGCTGCGTCAATGATTGAAGTTACACAAAAATCATTTATGGCGGAATTGTTTCCCTTTAAAAGTTCTATAAAAAGTACGCGACAGCATATGCCATCTTTTAAGTTCGGCTCACTATTACCTTTTTCCTCAAATTAACGCGGGGAAACCGCAGGGGACCTTTCGGTGTGACATAACTGTAATAGTTAGACATTATGGTATCACAGACTTTGTTGATATTGATGTATTCTATAAAACTTTAGTAAATCACTGCTTTACTGTCAATGACCCGGCAGCGTAAGCGATATAAGATAATTATTTGTTTTTTTTTTCACACCCTGGTTACGTTATCGAAGTTTTCATATGGAACCCTAACTTTATTGAAAATACTCTAAAACCTATGTTTATCAGGGATAATGTAGCATTCAAATGGTGAAAGAATTTTTAAAATCGGTCTAGTAGTTTTTGAGCGAATTCGTTACATACTTACATACAAATCTTTCCTCTTTATAATATTAGTATAGATAACGACAACAGGTAGACACTTCAAATATTCTCAGATTTAGTTGTATATAGACTAAAATAAGATAATTATGTAGAGGAGTGATTTATTTGCCGTTTTTGAGTAAAATTTAGTGTCTAATGTTGTATAGATAAATAGTACGGAACCCTTCGTGCGCGAGTCCGACTCGCACTTGGCCGGTTTTTTATTAAGTATTTAGAATTTCTATTTTGTATTATTTAGAATATTACTAACAGCGGTAAACAGCTTCGAGGATATCACATCTTCCTGCCACACTCCTCCCTGTAGTTGGATGGGACTCGTAGTCAGATCTTCTATCCGGACTGTCATGGTCGGCTTTTCCTACAAACTCTTCAGCACTTGGATGTAGCGAGAGTCGATACAGCACCTCTGTAAAGATCTCAACACAGGCCATGTTTATGTTATCATGCATGTAATAATATCCGTTTTCTTATATAGCGCCAAGTTTCTTGATTACAAATAGTGTATGGGATTTTCTTCCTTCAGGTTTCGAGCTCTATACAAGGGACTTGTGCCCAAAGTGCTGCGCCTGGGTCCAGGAGGAGCCATCATGCTAGTGGTTTACGACTACGCGTATCACTTTTTAGAAAATAAGCTTAACATGAAATCTTAGTTGACCAAAGATTAATTTTTCTTCTTATGTTAAGAGAAATGTGCAATGTCTGTAGAATAATACCGATGCGTACTTTGATCTTTATACATTTAAAGAGCCTTGAAATAGTAGGTACGTCAGTTGCTTGAAAATCATTAACAATTGTTATTGTTACACGCTTTGTTTCAAATTGCTTTAGCTATTTATCTTAAGTATGACAACGTAACTTTGTTAGGTTACTAGATTTCAGTATCCGTTTGTCCATATCTCACGAACCATAATCAGTATACACTTTTATTCTTTATTTTACTCAAAACTATCGAGTACATTTCTATTACTGCTTTACAATAATTTAAAAAAAATCTAGGTAAAAACTTATTGAGGTTCATAAAAGTATTTTTTTGTATTTTTTACTGTTTTTATTATTGTATTTCAAATGTTTAAACTTATACGATGTGTGTAGGTCTCTCTTGAAAGTTTGTCCTTTTTTAAATTATTTTTTTTAGATGACACTAGCGATGGGCGTTGAATTAACGAACGGTTTAAATAGACGGTCCACGTTCAATCGACGCTTCGACGGACAGTTCATTCGTTAACTAGTTGAATTCATAGACGGCTAAACTGAGAGTCCACAGCGTTCATATCTACTGACAACGCAACGACGACGCGTAAATGTATCCGGTATACCTGTTACAAGTCCATACGTTCGTTCATTCGTTGAAATAAAACAATTTTAAACTTAAGTATATGGCGTGGGAGGTGATATTTGTTCGTTTTTTAAACGAGAGTTGTTAGATTGAAAAGGTATTAAAGATTAAAGAGTATTCTGATATTGCAGTGAAAGAGTACGTCGATGGATCTGGCTAAAGGATGCAGTGCAGGATGAACGGGTTTATAATAATTGTTTACCTTAAGTAGTTGCAGTTTTGTTTATTGAAATTTAGTGTATCGCGAGGTCAAGGTCAAGGGACACGTGAATGCGAATTTAGTGCACAGTTCGTTTGAATTGAATGTTTATGTTATGGGAGTTTAATTTGTAATTTATTTTGTAAACATTTAAATGACTATAATGTAAAGGGAATACTAAATAAAGACCCCGTCGCACAGTGGCCCGGATTTTTAAAATAGTGGACTTAGGATCAAAGTTGCAAATTTCAGCTATTAAAAAATTGTAATTAATAGTAAATTAAATGCTGATTAATATTGTTTGAAACTATTTTTCAAGTAAATGACTGCTTCATACTTTTAAAAAATATTTACGAAAAAAATGTATGGGAGAAAATCTATTTTATTTTTTTTCTTGGTAGGTTAGCAAAAGGTAGCAGTCAAACCTCATATAGTGGTTAGGGGCTATTGACCTTGACCCAACAACACCAAAATTTTGTGCGTATCCTTGCGGCCTTGGGGCCAGCAAAATTTTAAAGTTATTTATTTTCATACCTGTTCTTTCTCTACTTATTTTACGCGTTTTGAATTAAAAATATTTTTGAATGTCTTATTTAACAAAACAAATCTTAATAAGTTCGCAATTAGACATATTGCTGAAGTATTTTGTACTTAAACAAATTATGTGTAGTCCAGTCAATGAAGGTTTTCACCTCCGATTTCGTTGAATCTCCATCGATTTTCATGAAAATTGGTGGGTAGGTGGGGGATACCTTAAGAAACAAAAGTGACATATTGTCAACTTGCGCTTTTGCCCTAGGGGTCGATGCCAACCCTTCTCGGGGGTGAAAATTATTTTAATAAAAACAACTCCAGAAATCGATAGTGAGACAGATTCTAAGCAAAATTTGTTATATAAAGTTTTTAGAATAAATCAATACTTTCTGAGTTATTAAAGATCAAAGGTTGGTAATTTTGGTGATAAAATTACATGTTTTAAAGCGGTTTTTCATAAATAACCCAAAACTATGAGTTTTTACAAAATAAATATTATTACCAAAATTGAAGCTAATAAAAAACCCAACAAACCCCTACTTTGAAAAACCTTCTAAAATTCATTCAAAGTGAGCTATAGGTTATTGTATACACATTTTTTTCGGCGAGTACTTAAATCTAAGTATTCGAACCTAAATAACGGGAAACCGATGCATTTTATGACATATACTTACTGAACATTTGCTAAGGTCCTCAAAAATACCTTTCTAATGAGCACTGTAAAAAGTTAATAGCATCAAAATTGAGCAAGTTATGATAAAAATAAGATCACACCTTCGATTTTTTCTGGAAAAAACGAAAAATAAAACCTTCGCAATTTCCAAAAAAAGAAGCAAATTTACAGTTATCCCCAAAAGGCTTTATTTATTCTAGCATAAGTGATGGCCTCAAAAATTTTACCCAGTTTAAAGCCCTTATTTTTTAAAAGATAATGCATTAAAGAAAATAAATTTTATTAGCTTCAATTTTGGTAAAAATATTTTTTTTTGTAAAAACTCAGTTTTTGAGTTATTTATGAAAAACCGCTTTAAAACATGTATTTTTATCACGAAAATTACCAACCTTTGATCTTTAATAACTCAGAAAGTATTGATTTATTCTAAAAACTTTATATAACAAATTTTGCTTAGAATCTGTCTCACTATCGATTTCTGGAGTTGTTTTTATTAAAAAAATTTTCACCCCCGAGAAGGGTTGGCATCTACCCCCAGGGCAAAAGCGCAAGTTGGCAATATGTCACTTTTGTTTCTTAAGGTATCCCCCACCTACTCACCAATTTTCATGAAAATCGATGGAGATTCAACGAAATGGGAGGTGAAAACTTTCATTGACTGGACTATACATAATTTGTTTAAGTACAAAATACTTCAGCAATATGTCTAATTGCCAACTTATTAAGATTTATTTTGTTAAATAAGACATTCAAAAATATTTTTAATTCAAAACGCGTAAAATAAGTAGAGAAAGAACAGGTATGAAAATAAATTACTTTAAAATTTTGCTGGCCCCAAGGCCGCAAGGATACGCACAAAATTTTGGTGTTGTTGGGTCAAGGTCAATAGCCCCTAACCACCATATGAGGTTTGACTGCTACCTTTTGCTAACATACCAAGAAAAAATAAAAATAGACTTTCTCCCATACATTTTTTTCGTAAATATTTTTTTAAAGTATGAAGGAGTCATTTTCTTGAAAAATAGTATCAAACAATATTAATTTAATTTACTACTAATTACATTTTTTTAATAGCTGAAATTTGCAACTTTGATCCTAAGTCCACTATTTTAAAAATCCGGACCACTGTGCGTCGACGTCGTTGCGTCGCGCCCGTAGACCAGTCACCGCGTAGTTGATATGATGAGGGGTACATACGCCTGCCGTTATCACGTCAACTAGTGGAAGAATTCAACTAGTTGATCGACTAGTCGATGGACGGTAGTGGACGGTTTAGTTTCGTCGACGACGCACCTCTAGATGACACACATTAGATAATGACTGCAACGGAATATAATTTCTACAAAATTATGAAGGCCTCATCAAATGTGGTTTTAGAGAAAATTTATTTTATTTTTATATACCTATGTACTTCGTTGTATCACATGGTTGTATTATAAACGTAGTATTTAAGTAACTAGTTTTTGTTTGACCATTTAAACCTATAGATTTAATATATTTTAAATTGACAGTATCGGTAGTTCTGCAGGGAAATAATGGTTATTTTTGTATAGGTGCTAGAATATAATCATGGAATAGGCATCCTTTTAATTATAATGATTGTTAAAATATTGTTATTGATATTGTTATTCTTATCATATAAGAATTGATGTGTTATTAATCGTGCGAAGTATAATAAAAGCAAATGTGATATTGGTCTTTTGACCTTTGTAATTTGCCTTAATATTTATCAGATATTGCTCTAAGTATCTATTTTGTTACATATACAATAAAACTGATTTAGTTGTAATAAAAATGGGGTATTTTATTGTGCATGTTGCTCTTATAATTTCTTAGACTGTAACCTAAAACCTAAAGAAAATTTTACTAGAAAAAATGCACGCGAACCAGGCAGCAGACGGGACTCGAACTCTTCATTATCCGGGCGAATGCACTGACCATTATACTACCGCGGCCCTGATGGCCGTGTCGAATTTTCTCTAGCATTTCTTGCAGACTGCAACTTATTGCAACTGCTAAATTTTCTTTAGATGTTTAAATCTAAAGAATATTTTACTAGAAAATAGTACACGCGAACCAGGTAGCGGACTTGAACCCGCACCCTTTGCTTTCCGAATGCACTGACCATTATGCCACTTATGAAGGTGGTCGTTTTAGATTGTGAGTTACCTAAAATCTTCGCAATCTTCTACATCTTCTACATCTTTGCATTGTAGCTAACCGACTGACAGTGTCAAATGAATAGCTTTACAAGTAGAATAATGGTCTGTCCATTCGCCTGGATAGCCAAGGGTGCGGGTTCGAGTCCCGTCTGCTGTCTGGTCCGCGTGGAATGTTTTCTAGTAAAAAAATATTTAGATTTAAACATTCAGCAGTTTAATTCTTAAAAAATAAAAATATAACTTAATAGGTACCTACCTATCAAATAAAAAAAATGGATGCGTGTAACTTATGTACGCGCGTGAGAAGTTATACTTCTTTAGCATCATTAAAAATATTTTTTAATTGCATGCAAATAATTAATAATTACAATAAAATAATAAAAGGACTGGAAAAGGATAGTTAACACAGTCAATTAAGTTCAGTTTTAATTTGAAAAATTAAATAAATATTCAAAATATTCAATTAAAATCACTACTGAATTTAAGTTATTAGTCCATATGAATAAGTAACTAAAACACGTTGTGTCTATATAGAAACTAGAAACATGTGGATAAATATTATAAATATGAAAACAGTGATCAGAGGCGACGAGCGTGCCAACATTGTTTTTGACAACGCGATCATCTTATGGAGCTCCGTGGATTGTTCAAAGTACCTTTCGAACAGATGTCTAATAATGGTGGATTATTAACCACTAAGTGGTTAATAATCCACCATTATTAGACACTAACATTCATAACGCGCC